GCTGATGATGGCGCTCTGTGAGTTTCCTAAAGCAGCGGAGGCAGAGCTGAACACCAGGGCCTGATCAAGTGGTACAGCATTTTCCAGATCCAGGCAGTCTGGCCCTCACCCCCAGCAGAGTGGATGCGATGGCCCAGGGTCACGGTCTCCCCATTCCTGGCCAACAGTAGATCTGAGTCAGACTTGGTCCAGGATTCTCCCCTGGGACTCAGTATTAGCCATAACACACAAACATGCACAGCCAAGCAGGCCTGGTAGGGACTTGCCGGCCTCCCCTAGTACAGGGCCCCTGTCTCTTGAACCATCACCTCCTACCCAGGGCTTGAGAAGCCTCCTCCCAGCTCTAGGGGAGCGTGAGGCAGAGTGGCAGTGGCAAAAGGGTTCTGTATTTGGCCGTCGTCTTCTTTCACCTGAAACTTCAGAATTCTGGTCAGCACCCTGAGGCGCTGGGAAGCGCCCATGCCAGCATGCCTGCAGAACAGAGCATCTCCACAGAGCGAGGTGTGGCCCTGCTGGCAGAACATGCGCCTAGAATGCACGAAGCTCTGGGTTCCATCCGCAGGGGCCCTGCTCCTGTAAGCTCCTGTACCATCATCTCCCACCCAGCGTGTGCTCTGGAAGCCTCCACTCAGCTTTAGACCTGGGGGAATACTGATGTTGTGAGACAAGCTTGTCCTTAACACACTGGGTTCAAGGACAGCCCTTGAGGGAGATGGCTCAGCAGGCCCAGCATTTCTGAACAACCCGAGTTCAGATATCTAGAATGAATACAAAGCCGAGTGTGCACCTGAAATCCAGGCTTTCCTGTGTATGGCAAGATGGGCGGCAGAGACAGAAGACTCCCCGGAAGCGTGCCAGCCAGCCAGCCTGGCACATGCAAACAAGAGATACTACCTTAAACAAGGGACAAGGACAGGAATGCACACACACACACTGAACATGCACACACATAGAGCATACACACACACACCACAAGCACACATATACACAATTAAAAAAAACAAAGCAAATCCTGTTTAAGAAATGAGACAAAGCGTGGGGTGTGGTTCAGTGGCAGACCACTTGCCCAGCATGCACGAGGCCCTGGGTTTGATGTCAGCACTGGGGGAGAGAAGAAGGAAGGAAGCAAAGAATGAAAGTAACATAGCAGTATGCAGTTCAACTCTGGTTTTAAGTGGCGTCATCCCAAAAATGCAAGCCCATGGACAGACTCCAGCTGGGTGGCTCCTTTGTCTCTGCATGGCCACCCTCCCTACACACATGCCGAGTGTCCCACAGACGTGCGCTGCCTGTGTAAGCTGGAGTTCCGCAGGCGATAAGGCTGCTTTTTCAGACAGAGCTCATTTCCTGAGTAGTCAGGAGGATGACAATGAAGCCAGCCCTGCCCAGAGGACGCACCCAGGCTGCCAACCTGACTGCCATGCCACTAACCTTGTACAGCGAGGGGCCCAGCATTCAGGAGTCGGCTGCAAGCTCTGGGAACAGATTCCTGGCCCCAAGGGCTAGTCAACCAGAGCTTAGATAGTGGCCTGTGACACAGGGCAGCTCGCACCTCCTAGGCATGTTCCCTGGGCCATGCAGGCGGAGGGTCTTGGAGCTGACACCTGCGCTTCTCTGCCTCACGCCCTGCCTACTTTGTTCCCATTACTTAGGACCCTTTCTCAAGCCTTGACTATACTGCCTAGGCCCCTCCCTCCCTTTTAATTGATGTTGCAGCAGATCAGACCCAAGGCTTGCACATGCTAGGCAACTGTACTACCACTGAGCTGGATTCCCTATCCCCACCCCTCACCCCTCTTTTTTTAGAAGATAGGATCTGCTAAATTGCTGGTTTTGAGCTCATCCTAGAGGCCAGGCTAGCCTTGAACTTGCTTCCTGAGTAGCTGGGATGACAGGTTTGAATCACCATGCCTGGCTTCCCTTAGGTCTTATCAGCCATCTGAGCCTCAGGACTGATGGGAAATGGTCCCATATGATGGCTAAACAGCGGGCAAGTGCTACCAGCTACCTGATGGCTAGTGTGCCACTGGCTCCCTATAGACCTCCAGGACTGGGCTTATGCACAGGGAGTCAGAGAGAAAGCTGGTGAGTCCCAAGTCTGGGCTGGTCGTCTCTCTGGCAGGCTAGGTAAATGTCCTCCAGGAAGCCTTCCCAGACTGTCAAGTCCTGCAGCCCCTGCTCTTGACCCCATGACCAGCAGTTTGGCATTGGGAAACAGCTCCTGCCCGCCTTGAACTCGTATAGACAGCGAACCAGACATGGAGAGACTAGAAGCAAAGAGCGTGACTTTGACCCCCTACCTGAGGAAGCAGGGTCATGCTGGGTCATGAAGGCTAGGTCACAGTGGACAAAAAGCAGATATTCCCTATACACCAGAATGAGGTCAGCAGATGTCAGTACTCTGAGAGGGGTCTGATACCCAAGCCTAGGGACTACAGGAAGCCAGGACAGCCCAACCGGAAACCAAGGCTTTAGTTAGGACAAGCTGACAGCGGGCCACGTCCGGTCCCAGAGCCTCTGGGTCCCATGCTGTGAGGTGAATGCACTTAACCACACAGATGCTTCTAAAATTCAGGTACCCCAGTGAAGCAGGAGAGCTGGGAAATGCTGGGGATGGCCCAACCCCAGAGGAGCCCAGCCAGCAGGCTCCTGGGAACAGCCTAGGAGAAATAGAAACCGAGCAGGCCGGAGAAGCCCCTTCTGGCATGAAGATGCCATCACCTTCCACTACAGGGTGCTAACTCCACCATCATCTTGGCACAAGCTTCAGGACACACTGGCGCTCTGGAGTCCCGGTACCAGCAGAATCTGAGACACCCATGCAACAGCCAGTCCACTCCTGCTGTGGGCTCCAGGAGGTAAGGGTAAAAGTCTAAGGAAGAGTCTGTGCCCCCACCCCGCCCCACCCCCCAGTGCTCCCTGAATACGGTTAAGCCTCATTCTGCACAATACAGACAGCTGCACTGCCCCGTGTGAAAGGAGGCAAGCACACACAGCTCCACACAGGGCTTGACTGGAGTCTAATTGCGGGTTTCACCAGGTTCCAGACAGTGGGCCATGAGTGTAGAAGAGAGCAAAGGACAAGCCTGGCATCTCCATGCTAGGAGATGTTGAAGCTTTCTTCCTTAGTGGGAAACAGTTCAGGTATGGGCAGGGTGGATGATGGAGAGGGTACCCTGGGTCAAGACAGGTCAAGATGGGTGAGAGGTCACTAGACAGTGGGACAGGAAAGCCACCCACACATGCACGTATGTGCAACTCCACACACAGGAAAGGCGTGATGGAGCCTGTGGGAAACCACTGCCCACCCACACAGACAGGGAGCGCCCACTTTTCTCCTCACAGGTGACCCCGCAAAACCATCGCCGTCAGCTCCCATTTCAAGATGAAGGGATGAAGCTCAGAGACACTGAGCAGTCGCCTAAAGCACCAGCTCAAAGAGGGCAGGGGCCCGATGCATATCCACAGCCCCAGCTTCAGGAGCGGAGGCAGCGGGGGATGGAGCCAGGCTGGGTTCCACACGGTGAATTATTCAGTGGCTAATTCTGCTCCTGGGAGAGGAGGCAGGAGGGAGAGTGAGTCAGAGGCCTCCCACAGAGGAGCAGAAGCAGGCAGGACCAGGCTCAGCTGGGGCCACAGAGCTGAGGGCACACAGACTTGAAAGCAGGCAGAACTCAGGGCCTGCACAACTACCTTCAGATTCCCAAGGGCCATAGGCACTGGGCCCTTACCTCTCCCTGTCACGATTGTGCCAGAAAAGCAACAGCAAGTTCAGGTCTGCAGCAGGAGCAGGTGGCAGCCCTAACCTTAGGAAATGCTACCTGGCTGCCCCAGGTGCCAGCGGACCAGCCAAACTGCCGAGCAGGCAAACCCTAGGCAGGCAACTTTCCAAGAACAGCTCACACAGTTCTTCCAGGAAGGAGGCTGACAACACCGTCACACAGTAAGAGAACACATGCATACCCCCACCCCACCCAGGGCTGGTCTTCCCCCAAAATCCCCAGGTGAGGCTAGGTCTCCCTTCCCCTTGCTGTCTCTCAGGGCTCAGGCTTGGTCCTAACCCCTTGCTCCCATTCTAATCTCAGCTGCTGGAGCTGGGGTCGGGTAGGAGCAGGGACAACCCTCAACGTCCAGTTCTCGGTGGGATGAGGGGAGCCACACAGAGAGGTGACACAGTGCTTGATTCCCAGGCTACTGTCCAGGCACCTGGTCAGAAACTCTGAAGTGCTCGGGTGACCAAGCGGCTGATCATTGTTTCTGGAATGTGGAGCAGGAAGGAAAAGCCCACAGCCTGGTCCCCTGCTCTGCACTCAAATGACAGTGGTTCAGTAGTGGGGTGTGCTGGGACTTGGCATGACGCCAGACTTAGGGCTTCGCGGGGAGAGGCTGCCAAGCGCCCCATGGCCCACCGCCCAGACTGAGGCCCCACTTCGCCCCACTTCAGCCAGGCCTTATTTCCCACCCTGGGCTGAGAGACGACCGGCACCCTGGTTTCCCACAACCACGCGACACCCTGTGTACATCCCACAGCCTGACCGTGAAGCAAGGGGTCATTAGCAGCCACAGAGGTCTGGCCGTGGCCCAGGCTACTCCCCCACCAACAGCCTGGCAACGGGACTCCCTAACTGAGGGACGAGGGCGAGGAATACCCTCCCGCCTGAACCCAGGGTTCCAGCCTCGGCTAGCGGGGGCCCTGCTGGGGAGCAGCTGACTGCCCAAAGGATGGAGTTGGGCCTGGCAGGAACCCATAGGATCAGACGGGGTCCACCAGGGGAGGGAGGCTGCTCCACCAATCCAGATAGGAGGCCCCGGTGACATGGAGGGACTGAACACCTTCCAGGGGGTTAGCTGTTAACCCTGGAGAGGTTATCAATGAACCGGAGAGGGCCCCTAGAAGGAAAGGGCCACGACCTCGCATAAGGATGGGGAAACTTCAGCCCCTCCGGAGGGGCCATGACCCCCGCGGAGCCCCTGACCCCGCACCCGGGGCCGCGCGTCACCTGCTGGTAGTCGGCGTCCTCGGGCCGGAACTGGCTGCTGGTGGCCTCCCACCGCAGGTCGAAGTGCGGCAGCCGGTGCAGGAGGCTCACCCACCAGGGCGCCGCGTAGCTGACCCCGGCCATGGCGGGAGGCCGCGGGCGCTGCGCCGGGCTCCCCTCGTTGCCCGGTGCACGGGGCTCAGGGACCCGCCGACCCCTGCTCAGCTGCCCGCATCGTGCCTGCTATAGTGGGCCCCGGCACAGCCCGGCTTGGCCCGGCTCGGCCCGGCTCGGCTCCGCTCGGCTCCGCTCGGCCGCCCGCGCCCGCCGCCTCTTTGTTCGCCGCCGCTGCCGCCGCCCCCTCCGCGCACCCGCCTGCTCGCCCACAGGCCCCACCCCCACACCGCCATAGGCCCGCCGCCCGCAGGCCCCACCCCAGTCGTCCCCCCCCGTCCTCAGGCTCCGCCTCCGCACCGCCATTGGCCGACGGCTCTCAGGCTCCGCCCACACCAGCTCAGTTCCTGTCCCCGGGCTGCCATTGACGTATCTCCCATAGGCCCCGCCCTCAACCAACCTATTCTCTCGCTCCTGCCTTGCCATTGGTCCTTTTGCCTGCTAGTCACACCCCTCGGCTCAGGCAGAAGACCCTCAGACTTTTCGGCCATTTCTTCTCTGTGGACCAGCGGAGGCTGGAATCAGAACGTCGTGTGTAGCTTGCTGTCTGTGTCCATGCGTTCCGTCGCAGCCCTCGCAGGAACCTGCCCAGGGCTCCAGTGGCCTGTCTGTAGGATGGGCGTGATGTGCGTTCGGAGCTGCAGCTGGGTGATCTTGGGCAAATGCCTCCACCATCAGTGTTCTGGTCTGAGGAAAGGCCTTGTGGAGGTAGAACGAGTGGAAAGTGCTCAGAACAAAGCCTTGCACATAAAGCCGCAATGACGTGTGTAAAGCGATGATGGGCAGATAGGTTGAGACACACCTGCGCTTCCGGTGGGGAGGCCTGCCTTACTTTTAGTTATTGAGCCGGGACCTTATGTATGCAAGGCAAGCACTCGGCCACCGGCCTACATCCCCAAACCCGTCTTACTTTTTACATTGAGACAGGATCTCAGCAAGTTGCCCAGGTTATCCTCAAACTTGGCAATTCTCTTGCATCGACCTCCCAGGTAGTGGGATAACAGGCCTGAACCACTGCTCCCCGCTGGGTTGCATCACTTTAAAGACCTAAGACAGGAAGTTCACTGTAGCCCATCTTGGAAACTAGGCTACTGGTCAGGACACAGCCTATAGAAAGGGTTGGGGGTGGGGGACGTAGTTTGCGGCTCTGTGCCCCTTCCGCCCCTTCCGTGTTCTTGCTCCCAGGGGTGGCCTACATATCCGCTTGGCTCTGTCCCCTCACAACCCTGGGCCTTACTGCAGGACTCCCGTGTTCTTGGAAACTGCGTGCACATCACGTTCTGGATCCATTTGCCAGGTAGCTCCTGACCCGCTGGCCAGTGGCTTCCTGACAGACCTGTCTTTCAGCTCATCCAACTGCCTGAGGCACCTGCTTTCTTACACTATGACCCCAGGGCACGGAGCCTCAGCCTCGGTTTCCAGTGCTCTGGATGGCTGGGGGAAGCCACCCAGTTGGAAAACAGCCTGGAACGATAGGTGAGTTCTCCATCCCTAAAGGTCCATAGTGTCTAGAGTCAGGCTCAGGCTTCTTACTCTAGCACCAAAGAGCAACAAATGTGAATGCCCCACCCCCAAGCCTTCCAAGATTAAGGCCACTGAATTCTCCTCCCTGGTTTCAGGCGTACACCGCCTGGACGCAGTACACAGGTAAGGTGCCCCCTGCAGTGGACCTGGTGAGGCGCCCCCAACGCTGCCTTCAGGGTTCCCTGGTTCCAAAGATAAACAGTAACATCAGGAACTGACCTTATGGGCTGGGACAGTTTCTGCTCCGTTACTCCACAGAGGATCCCTGTATCCCCGCCTGGTCCCAGCAATAGTGATGATGGCACTGGTACTGCCAGGGCTCATACAGTAGGTATGAGGTTTAGGGGTTCCCTGCCCCATTTCCAGAAGCTTCACCAAGTTGGAGATTTTCTTCTGATAAGGCCACAAAGCCTGACCATTATGTAATAACTCATAATGGCGGACAAATTGCGTTCTCCAAAGATATGTGCAAAAGCCAGGTGTGGCAACACACACCTGATAAGACGATCACAAGTTTGAACCCTAGCCAACCTACATTGCAAATTTGAAGACAGCGTGAGCTAAGTCGTAAGACCTTATCTAAAAAAGGAGGCGGAGAGGGAAGGGGACTGGAAGTGCACTAGTTTTGATTAATTGGTAGTGTATTTGGCCAGTGAAACCTTTTCCTGAGGGAGCCCTTGAAGGAAAAGTCACAGGGGAATCGAAAGTGAAGAAAGTGTGGAAAGTGAGGCTCGTAAAGGTGCTTGCGGCCAAGCTTGAAGACCAGAGTTCGATCCCATCCTGCACAGGGTCCGGGAGCGACTCCACCAGTTGTTCCGCTGACCTCCATGTGTGCACCATACACAGAGTGGAATAATTACATGTAGGGGCTGGAGAGATGTCTCAGTGGTTGGGAGCATTCGCTGCTCTTCTAGAGGACCCGGGTTCAATTCCCAGCACCCACATGGGAGCTCACAACCGCCTGTAGCTCCAGGTCCATGGGATCTGACACCTTCATACAGGTGTATGTACAGGCAAGACACCAATGAACATAAAAAATTTTAAATTTCAAGTGTAATAGAGAAAAGATTCCCTACTACACAGTGTGGACCAGGACAGCCAGCACGTCCCCTGGTGGAACTGAGTCCCCACACTAATGCTGCTCAGATAGCTGCTGCAGAAAGGTATCTCGTGAAATAGGCATCTCCCGGGAGAATGAGAGTTAACGGAGAGAGTGCCAAGTACTGACTGTGGGCTCGGGGCAGGAAGGAAGGCTCCCCGCCTTGCCCGCTTTGGCTAGCACTGTCTGGCCAGAACTGCTATCCCTTCCTGCTCACCCCAGTACAACTATGGAGGCTGGGCCTTAGCCCACTCTATAGGGAGAGAAGCCATTGTCCAGGAAACCCGGAAAATCAGTCATGGAACCACTGTGGTTTGGTGTCAGCTCCCCCCACTCCTCTCCCTCTTCATTTCTCCCTCCCTCCCACGTTTGACTGAAGTAGGGTTTGTGAGCTGGAGACAGGGGTAAGGAGCTAGGGAGATCACTCAGTTGGGAAGGTGCTTGCTGTGCCAGTGTGAGGACCTGAGTGTGAATGCATTGACACTCATGTGCAAGCCAGCAATAGTGATGTGTACCTGTAACCCCAGAGGTGGAGGTAGAAGGCAAAGATGGCGGATCTGGACTTATTAGCTAACCAGTCCTGCTGTCTGAGGTTGCAGTTCTTCGAGTCCGGACAGCCATTCTGAGCTTGGCAGGACTCCCGCCCCCCAGCAGGGCCTCCTGCTCTCGGCCTGACTTCATCTGGAGAGTGTCTCTAGACACAGACGCCCCTGACCACTTTTGGTATCTGGCCTTTGACACGGCTCCCTGCTAGCTATGCCCTCCCTGCGCCTACAGCATAGTTAAGTACTGTGTTCCCGTTCATATGAAAGGACCATGTTTAATGCAAATCAAGCGTCCCTGAACTGCATAGTTCCACCAGTTTTGTACACCTATCCTTGGAGCCCCCCCACCCACTCCGCAGGGGGTATATAACCTTTGTTCTCTGGAATTAAAGTTGAAGTAGCTCCCTGCCAGCGTGTGATCCCTGTACAGTGCTCACTGCCATTCCAGGCACACTTTTCATCTCGTGCCCCTCCTCACTTCATGGGCTACGGGGAGACAGCCCCCAGGCAGGAGGAGAACCACACCATCCTAGCCAGTTGGTGAGCTCCAGGTTTGGTGAGAGACCCCATCTCAATAATAAGGCGGAAAATAACAGAGGAAGATGTGTGATGTTGACCTCTGGCCTCCAAACCCATATACATCGGTGAGTGTGCTTTAATATACATATGTACAAATACCACACTTACCATTTTTTTTAAAGGCAAGAATTAAAAAGTCTGTATGAGCCGGGCATGGTGGAACAGGCCTTTAACCCCAGTACCTGGGAGGAAGAGGCAGGTGATCTCTGAGTTCAAGTCTAGCCTAGTCTACAGAGGGAATTCCAGGACAGAGAAATCCTGTACTGGAAAAAAGAAAAAAAAAAAGAGAGAGAGAGAGAGAGAAAGGAAGAAAGGAAGGAAGTCAGTCTGTGGAGCCAACCCTGACAGCAGAGCTCCTAGGAGAGCCTGGCAGGAACATTTGAGATAGACGACCCACAGACTGAACAGATTGAGTGCTGTCCCTCCAGAAGGGGAGGAGGCTGGGCTGAGGCACCTGAGATGTCGTCCCATGACCTGCAGCCAGTGGGAGAGAGCCAGGACCCAGTAGCACAAGTCCAGCCTGGGGCCACAGCCAGAACAAAGGCATTCCCTGGGTTTGGACCCCATCCAGTGAGGTTCACGAGTGAGAGCTAGCAGGGAGAGGAGGGAGCTGGAGGCCCAGACTCCCACTGTGCGTGCTGACACGTGGCCTGCTGACACTTGAGCCACACAAACATTGAGAGTACCTAGCTTCCCTGAGACACTCAGAGTGGCAGAAAAGCCACAGGAACCGTTCTTTTTAATCTGGCCCTGAGGCCCGGTGTCTCTGCAGTTTGGGAGAGGTGCCAGCCAGCCAACACTGTCTTCAGAGGCCTGTGGAGCCTCAGAGCACAGCCTGAGCCTGAGGGGGCAGCCTCATCTACTGCCTGAAAGCCTGTGGGAACCAGTAAATCAGCAGGAGGCCTCTGAACCCCCAAGAGTGCTGCCTCAAAAGTCTTAGTTGCCAGCTGCACACCTCCCAAAACAAGAACAGACCTAAGGTAGACAAAGCTTCATGCTGGCCCTGGCGGCACACACCTGTCATTATGGCCACTTGGGCTAACTTGGGCAACTTAGTGAGACCCCATCTTAAAATAAAAAGTGAAGAGCGGTGGTGGCGCACACCTTTAGTCTCAGCATTACAGAGGCAGAGGCAGGCAGATCCCTGAGTTCGAAGCCAGCCTGGTATACAGAGTCTCAGGACAGCCAGGGCTATGCAGAGAAACCCTGTACCACAAAACCAAAAAAAAAAAAAAAAAAAAAAAAAAAAGAGAGAGAGAGAGAAAAGAAAAGAGAGCTAGCAATTTATTTAGCTCAGTGGTAGAACACTTACTAGAATCTCTCAGTGTGGGGCTGGGGCAGTAGAGTTCTTGTCCAAAATCCCTTTGTGAAGGGTTGGGGCATGGCTCAATGGTAGAGCACTTGCCTAGA